ACCAGCCCCCATCTCTCCCCCATCACCAGCACCCATCACCTTCTCATGACCAGCACCCATTGCTTCCCCATCACCAGCACCCATCACCTCCCCATCACCAGCACCCATCACCTCCCCATCACCAGCACCCATCACCTCCCCATCACCAGCACCCATCACCTCCCCATCACCAGCACCCATCACCTCCCCATCACCAGCACCCATCACCTCCCCATCACCAGCACCCATCACCTCCCCATCACCAGCACCCATCACCTTCTCATGACCAGCACCCATGGCCTCCCCATCACCAGCACCCATCGCCTCCCGTGTTTGCATCAGTCTTTGGGAGAAGGTCAAGCCAGCCCTTGATTTTGACTGTGCTTAACTGTGCCCTCATTAGCACGGCAGGATAATTAACCTAATAAAACTTCCTACTGGCCCATAAAATCCCACAGTTTATGGCCAAGTCCTATTTACGGCATCCGAGCCGGGCCGTGGGGTAGGACGGGAAAGCGGCGAGGCCACCATGGTGGGAGGCAGGAGCAGGCAGCCGCCGGCTGACGGGTATTTTGGCAGCAGATTTTCCCGGGATGTCTCCAACCAGAGCTGGAGAGGTTGACGCTTTGATGAAGGAGGGTGCAAGCGGCCAACGTTAGAGCCTCCAATGGCGTTTTCCAGCTCAACCTCAGCGTCTGGCTTTGAGCAGTCTGATCCAGGTAACTGCTTAAAAAAAAAACCAACAAAAAACCCCAAACCAGATGGTTAAAAGCACCCCGTTGGATTATCCCGAGCCTGCGCGGCTCGTAACGCAATCCCAGATGTGCGCAGATGTGTGCGGCAACGTCTGGGTTTGCATTTGCAGACGAGGCGGCGGTGGGGGGGCGGAGAGGCTGATGAATTCATGGAAAAAAAGAAAGTTGGAGGCGGAGAGGGAAACCGCTCCGACAGGGAAACCTCCGTGGGGCCCTGTGCCCCCGCGCGAGCCCAGATGTGCAGAGCCCGGCTGGTCCCGCCAGCGTCTGCGGGGATGGGGAGGAACCTTCGCAAAGCCCGGCATAAATCGCATAGAGGTTTGAGGTGGAAAATGGGATTTCGGAGAGGCTGAGCTTGGGCAGGATCCCACAATGGCTGGAGGGGTCTCCAGGGGATAGCGGCTGTTGGGTGTAAAATCTGGGTTTCGGTGGTTTGTGTTTTATTTCAGACAGAGTTTTAATGGAGGTTTCCAAGGTTTCCAAAGCCAAGGGTGAACTGCAAGGTCTGCAGGGCAGGTCCTAAAGTCAGGCTTTTCTAGCCTAAGCCAAGGGACCTCGGTCCTACTTTTGGACCTGCCAGATGTCACCGTGGTGGAGGAGGGAGGCTGGGATCGGGGTGCTGGGGAGATGCGCAGGAGAGGGATGTGCCCCGTTCTGATCCCAACTCCGGGAAGGTCTCACCTGTAGACCGAGGAGGTGTTGACTCCGCTCTGCACGTAGCGCCCGAGCTGGGTGGATCCCCGAAGGTAATTACGGGGCCAGGGAGCTGCTTACCGAAGGCGGAGGTGCCCGCACGTCCGCTGGGCACGGACACCTTCCCTTTCCCTGGCCACGACGGGGACGTTGCTACGGCCAGGGCGGCCGCGGACGTGAGGGTTCAGCTGAGGGGCTCGGTGCTGGCCCCGGTCCCCCCCTCTGCCCTTGGGTATTTCACCCTGCTGCGTCCTGGGGTCCCCCCGAACGCAGGACGGGGGGTCTGGGCTCAGCAGTTCAGGAGCACAGGAAAGGAGAGGGCTGGCGGGGACTCTGTGGAGTTCAGCATGGGAGGAAATCAGGAAAGCCCGGCTTGTTTAGTCTAGCAAAGCGAGGAGGCGGATGGCTGCGGTCTGCACATTCCTCCCAGAGGGACGGAGCGGGGATAAGAACCGCCGGGAGTCGGGGGGAATATACTTTGAAAGGGAAATTTAAGTTTTTGGCTGATTTGCTGTTGGCTACAGGATGACAAGATGAAGGTTCAGGCCCAGACTGACGCACGGGAGGAAAATCACGGGAGGAGAAGCGTGCGCTCTGCAGCATTTCCTCTCTGTCGAGGACCGGCCGTGTGCCCCAGCTGCTCACCAACACCTTTTTTCTTTTTCCAGGACAAGCCTTTTTTCAAGCTTCCCCCTGCTTGGGAAGGGTCGGGTCTCCTCCGCATCAAAACTCAGCTTCATGGGGCAAAGCTCAGCTCTAAACCCTGTCCCTGCAAACTGAGCTGTGCCTTCCCTCCCGAGCAGGGATCCAGGGATGCAGCGGGGGACCCAGGGGAGCGAGGCCAGGCTGAGAGAGCTGGCGTGGAGCCGGGGCTGCGCTCCCAAGGAGCTGTGGCCATGCCCAGACACCCCCCTATATGGTGAGGCCACAGCTTTTCGGGAGGGCTGCGGCAACCCAAAGGTTTCATCACGGTGCTGGTGACCGGGTGCTGCCCACCGCCCCAGGAGAAGCTGCCCTGCCAGAGGGGAGTCTGCCCAGCGGGGTCCCCCTTCCAGCCAAGGCTGCTTCTGAAGGTTCATCTAGGAGAGGATTTCTAAGTAGTTGCTAAATGGGGACCCTTTCAGTTCTGGGGGTGGTTTCTTTTCCACAGCCAGGAGGTTTCAGTGCCCCAGGAGGGCGAGGAGTATCGCCACTGCTCCCTTTTCCCCCAGAAACAGAGGAGGGTGATGCAAGCGCTGGAGTGAGTCACGCAGCCGTGCCCTGGGTTACAGCGACCGCCCGGCCCACACGAAGGGCGGTGGCTGCTGGGCCCCACGCCGCACCCGGAGCTGTAAACCACCGGCTGGGGGCCCTCCTGGCCCCCACG